CCAAACCCTGGTTGGTTTTGGAGGATCGACTCCCATACCAACCGGGGAATTTCTTTTTTTATTATTATTTTTTTTTAGGGAGTCGACTCCCAAACCTGTCAAAGGTTTTGGGGGTTTGACTCCCATTTTTCGGGGATTCCGGGGATTGGGAGTCGGCTCTCCATTTTTTGGGAGTCGTTTAACCAAGCCCCAAATAAAATCAATTTTTTTCAAAAGCTTTGATATTCATTTTGGGGGAGTGGGAGTGCTGAGAGAAAGAAAGAATGGAATGTGGGAAGAATGATTATAAATAAAAAAATTGGAACCAAAAAAGGTTCAGCCAGGTTGGTTGTCCAGATTGGAGCCAAAACAGTAAATTCTAGTGCTTTTCTGCAATGTGGGCTGTTGAATGCCCCACTCAACAGCTGTTTGAAGCCATCTGAAAACCAGTTTTTCCAAAATTTTCATTCATAATCATTCTTCTCATTTCCCAATCTTTACTTCTCTCAGCACTCCCACTCCCCCAAAATGAATATCAAAGCTTTTGAAAAAAAAAACAGTTTTATTTTTTATTTTTGTAAGGACTGTCTATGTCCTTCACTGAACAGAGGAAAAATGGCACAGGGGACAGGCTGAGGAGCCTAAAAGGTTCCAAGACCAGAAACGGTGACGCTTGATTTCTGACTCAGAGAGAGAAGTGGGGATCAGTCTCTACTCTACAACTTAGATAATGATGGAAGGAAGGAAGGAAGAATGAGAAAAGGAAGAGCTTACCTGACTCAGAGAGAGAAGTGGGGATCAGTCTCTACTAGGCCAGGTCGGATCAAACAACTGCAGGACTAAATATGACTTGAGAGACAACCGTGATATCCATGTGAAACCCAACCGGAGGGAGGGGGTTTACAATTTTTCACAATTTTGAAACTTTATTTTTTGCTTTTATTTTTTCATATTCATTTTTTGGAAACTATTATGCACCACCTGACCAATTCTCATGATTTCAAATTTGTGTTTTGGAGCTCTGGAATCCAAAATAAGCAGCCACTTTTCACTGTCTACCCACTGTACACAACCTAGCACTCCCCAACCATGCAATTTTAAGAGTTGATATTGCCACCTATGGGGCAGAGCTCTTTTATACTGACTGAAACTGACCAGTGGTTGTAGGATCACAGGCTTCCAAATGATGCAACCCTCTATGAAAATGCATCACAGCTGGTATAAATAATTCCATTTGTTTCACTTACCATCTTCAGGTGGGTCATTCTCCACTCTTTGGGACCAAAAGTTATGGTTGGCCAGTGTCAAATGGTGAAGAAGTAAATAAATTCTCAGCTGATATCAGCCCCTTCCAATATGAATATTTTTCAAACACTAAAGGTTGAAGGAAAATAGAGTGTTCAAAGTTTGCTTGCATATTGTAAAAGATGCATAAAACAATGCATGAATTCTCATTTGATCTAGGGCCCTCCCTGAAAAGTATAGTTTTTATCAGGGAAATACAGCTTTCAAGTTTTGTGATCAAAACTGGGGAACCCTCAGATTTTATTAATTAGAAGTCCAAAGAGCGGGTGGATTTGGAGATGAAGCTGACAGCTTAAAATGAACGTCACAATAATTTATGGAGCAACTGGTGAGAAGAGAAGCTTATAATATCCCTGGGGAAAAAAAATGAAACAAGGGAGACGCCAAAGCCGGAGGCATCTATCCGCATGCCAGGATACAAGCCACACAAACATGTGCACAATGGTGGCTGGGCATAACCGAAGGCAAGCCCTGTTTTAAGTAGTTTAGGGTCAAGTCAAGCCACCTCACAGGCCAGCTCAGGCTAACTCAGGCTAACTCGGTTTGCGACAAACTTAACACAAGTCCCCCTGGTGTGACTGGCTGGGCGCAAAGCACCCCCTCCCGCAGGGAGGGACTTAAAACTTAGAAAAATTTCCCAGTGTGAGGCAGAAACACGGTTTTGGTGGTGGAAACCTTCCTCGCCCCATCACTCATTTATTATAATCAGCGGTGGGCCGCTACGCTACACTACGCTTTTGGCCCAAAAAGCGTAGCGTAGCGGCGCTTTTTTTGTGCCAAAATTTTGTAGTGTTAGCGCTTTTGTAGCGCATTTTCGCTACGCTACGCTGCGCTACAGCTCTTTTAGCGGAAAAAGCGGCTAAAAACCGCTAAAAACCGCTGTAGCGCAGCGTAGTGGGCCCTTTTTTGCGGCCCACACGCGTAGCATTAGCGGTGTCGTGGCGGAATTCTGTCACGCTACGCTTAACGCTAACGGGAATTCCGCTGCATTACGCTACACTAACCGCTACGGTTAGTGTAGCGGCCCACTGTTGTTATAATGCTATTTTTTTCTCGATTCTAGTAGATCAAAGATCTACATAATCTGGATTTTCCTATATTTTTTATTTTGAAAAGGTGTGTGATTCTACTTGAAAATAGGCAATGAAGTTCATGATTTTGAACTTTAATTTTCAAATTTGGCAGAGAGGCTTGAGCGCAATCTCAGTATAAGCATATTTTTTGCTTGCAAAATGGAAATTTATCTTTTTTTTGTTTGTTTTTTTTAGAAAGATTGGCATGGGAATACAAATAAAAAAAATGCAGAAAGATCAACAAGGTGGAAGAGAACAAGAAAAAGGCTACAATGGGATTTTGACAAAAAAGGCATGGAAGCCAGAGGTGATAATACAAAAACAGGCCTGCCTCAAGGGAGCTTTGAGTAATAATACGTAAGCCTCTCTGACGAGACTGGGCTGCTGCCCAGACCTGCCCGCAAAAGACTCTCGTCACGAGAGGATTAGTTAAGCTCGGGTTTGCGATTGGGAAGTCATCCAGGCCAACCTGGCACAAGCGCACTATGTAGCCTGGTGTGTTGGGATTTGACGGATGACTGTGGAATGACTTGGTGTATGTGGAACACTGACAAATAAGAGTTGATAAAAGGATTGACACGGTGTATGTCAAATGAAAATAAATAGATATGAACCAGGTGAATCCTTGATCCAAATCCCCAGCCATTGACCCCAGGAACTAGCAAGGTCGGAACACTACAAGCCGTCCCCAGTTTTTGATTGAAAGGCTGTTTTGTTGGGATCACGGTTTATAACAGAGCACAACCTGTGTACTGTCAGTCTGTCTTGCAGATACCGGAGTGAGATCTGACTTGCCCAACAAGTCCCTCCAAGGAAGACCGAAACAAACTCCTCCATGAGAGTGATTGTGCCGATTTGGTGGCAAGCTTATAAAGCTGTCCAGATTGTGATTGAGGTGTTAAGCTTGGAGATCATCTCCGGCTTCTTCATAATTTGGGGATAAAATCTACCCCAAGCATGCTCTATGCTCATCACCCGGTAAAAGTGGTAGCAGACACTTTGTTCCAATTCAGGATAAACACGTTAGCAAGGAAACAGAGAAACAAAAGATGCAATCAAGCAGTCATGATATCCAGTTGATTTTTTTTCAACAACAGTAACTCAAGGAACATTCAAAACAGGAGAATATATTTGTATTCAAGCAGAAAGACAGTGGGCATGAGTTTCAACTTTCATATCAAGCAGAAAATAAATATTAAATAAACGATATGATCATCCAGTGATATTCTCGACAATATTAAGATAACGTAAGGAAATAATATGTGTATGGAGAGAGAGACAGAGCGAGCAAAAGATGTAGCAAGCAGTATGTAAATTAACTGGCTTACTGAAGGGATGTTTTGCAGATTTGATTGAAAGGTCTATGCAGATCACAGTTCTTGAAGAAACAGTGCATGGTAACAATTCTCGACTGAGTGCGCGTCGAGATTATTCTTGAATGACATCACGAGATAAGGCCTCTTGGAAGCGAGAGACAGCATGAGCCCAATAAAGCTTTCAAATCATTAGACCAGAGTGTGAATTGGTCGAAAAATGACGAATGGTCGGTCTCATGAGTCCAAGGAACGAGATGATTAGACAGGAGGAGTAAGGTTGATTCGAGCTTCTCCGTGTGCCGAAAGAGACGCGTCCTAACAGATCCATCAATCTCGTTTCGTGTAATTATATGATTATCTGTAGATCTTCATCAAGCAAACACATTGACCAAGTAAGTCGCCTAGTTCAGATGTGATCAGATTTCGCGTACCGGCTACTAATCTAGAGAATCTGAAATGTACTAGAGCTTTAAGGAGACGGTCGGTATCATTGTTGATAGAGTCGGGAGAAGCGTTAGAAAATTCCTCAGAGAAGCAGTTGAGAGTGCCCATATGTCCATCCAACTCGCTCAAGCATTCAGCAATATTGATAATGATTATTGACATCGATTCCAAGTCAGGTTTCCGTGGTGTTCGGGTGCTACTGTCTAGAATGGACGGCATCAAAAAGCTCAAGATGCTCTTCCAGCTGGTCCATATAGTGGTGCCAATGATAGGACTCCTCAAACATCGGAGCATTCAGGCAGTACTTCACTAAAGTGCGTAACGGATTGATTGCCGCATCTATCATTTAAAAAAATTGTAGGTGTTCGCCCCATCAGTCACGTCTTTGCGCACATGCTTCATTGGATTCGGATGAAGCTTTTTTGTAAGACTAACCGATCGGCGAATCTTCGTCCAGACGCATGATGTTACATGGGAGGATTTGGTTCCAGAAATCCAATGTGCATGCACATATGAAGCTTGCTCTCCTTGTCTTGCATGAAAAGGCATGTGTGTATGTATTTCCGGAGAGCTTTCAAAGAACAGAAGGATGACATTGCAACTTTGAAAGAATTCGATGGGGTTTGTGTTTTTTTTTGCTTTTTTTCTTAGTTTTTTCTTCTGACAACAATCCACAAGAAAGAAAAAAGGGTAGGGGAGGAAGAGAAAAAAATGTTTACAAAAAAATACTCAACTAAATCACAAATGAAATGAGAAACAAAAAAAAAGGAAATGAACTAGTCGAGGATGATGAATCAAAGAGAGTTTGTGAAAAGCAATATGACAATTTGATGATAACAGCGGGGCAAAAGGCTGATTTTTGGGGAGGGGGGGATTGGGGGTTTCAATCAGCCTTGCAGGGGACGTTGGAGGCGAGCCCGAAGACAGAGCCTAGTCCGGGCGACTTGATATCAGGCGAGCCAAGGCCGACAGCAGAACTGAAAGCCTTCGACATCTGCGGAGAGATCGGGCTGAAGCTGATCGCCCCTCGGGCGTGCGAGGCTCGGTAACTCTTGTACGAGAAACCGATGATGCCGAACAAGACTGCCCAGAAGAATAACCAATGAGGCGCAAACAGATGCTACATTGTTTTTTTTTTTTTTTTTCGTAAGGAATTGTCGTCAGTTTTTTTTTCGTGTTTTGGTAAATATCAGACAAGGGAAAAATTGAGCACTTACACCGTATGCATTTTTGAAGTGGAAGATTTTCTGTAAGGGAATGAAAGAAGACAAAAGCATTAACGAATCATAGGTCTGCACAAAGGATGGAACGGGGAGAGAGACAAAAAAAAAGACAAACCCATTTCATTCGACTGACGACTGTCCCAGCCAATCTGCCAGAGAGTTTGCCCATCTCAACTGCCAATAGGGTCTGGAAGACAGAGGAAGGTTTGAATTCGATGTCTTGCCCGTTTTCTTGTCTGTCGAAATAACGATGGTGCTTGGCGTCGACGATGATGATCATGCTCGATTCCCTGGGATCTTCGGTAGGCCTGGGCAGGTTGACGCCATAGGAGTGCTAAATAATTGTAACACATGTCGACCAAGATTTCGAGTTAGCAAAATGAGAAACAAAACTGAATGAGCAACTCAGATGGGGGGACGTACGGCGAGCCAATCCGCCCAGACATCACTGTTAACCCAGACCCAATCGACGCTCAAGTCTTCGACGCCCCGGGCTTCCTGACTCTTACGCCACTGAATGGCCCAATCCTTCATTTCGTCCTTCAGCTCGACCGACCTGGGATTAGACCTTTCGAGATTGATGCCGTCGCGACTGGGAACGATCCCGCTGATACAGGCAAGGACAACGAGCTTCTTGGCACCAGAGTTGAGCACCCGGAAGTAGTTTCGTTGGTCGAGCTCGTCAAGCACCGGAATCGATTGGACAGCGATCCAATGGCGGAGGTCCATCGTGAGCTTATGGTGTCGGAGAAGCGGGTTCGGCTCAACCTTGGGCGACACCTCTTCCAAAACTAGCTTGGCCCATGGCTTCGACTGATATTCTTTGAACACGAGCAGGTATGGATGGTAACTCGACAATCCCAACTGTTCGTAGATATCTTTGTGGTCCGACTTGAGGATCACCGCTGAACCCAGTAAACTTTTACCAACAGTTTGGACAGCATTCTAGCAAAGAAAATGTGTGTTTCCCTTAGGCCTCTACACCAATCCCATGTGGGCTGTATATAAGGAAGGACACTTACAAGAATCGAAACCTGGGTTCGGCTCGAGTGTAGGAATAGGAAAAAGATGTTCTTGGCTTGAATGGCGTGCTCCAACTCACGCATGCTGATCTCGTGAGTGCCCGGGCTGATCAAACACCCAATAAATTAGCTATTGACGCGATGACCGGGAACAAAGATATAGGCCAGAGTGGGCCAGACATTAACAATACTCACGTAGCGACGGCTTTGCGAATATACTCCGCCATTTCGACAGCCTCTCGGCGCCCTGTGTAGCCGAGTCGATTTCCTTCTTGAACGCTGGTTTAACATGTAGGGAGACATAGTCAACAATTAAACCATGTGCCATTCACTTCGGTTGCAGGAAGTTTGAAAACAAGGGCTCACATGGCAAAGGTTGGGAAATTTGTGACATGTTGGCTTTTGCAAAACTTCTTGTTCCATTTGGCTTCGCAATCAATCTCCCCTACATTTACTTCGCCCTTCAATAGACGTGCGGTTTCTTCCCAGACTAGATAAGGCCAAGAAAAAGGTTTAAAACCGCGGAAGGAGTTTGTTAGCATCTTAGTCTCTAGTCTGAATTCAGTTTTTCTTTTTGTTTCCTGAAAAGAAAATGCAGGGAGAGAAAGGCGGGACTGACCAGGAATGAGATCGCGGCACTCTTTACACCAAGCAGTGTGACTGCTTGTAGAACAAGGCACGCGGGAAGGGTT